CCCTAACCCTAAAAGTGGACTCAATTTGCACTATTTCTGACAGTCTGCTTTTGTAGACTTGAGCCTCCTTCCTCAGATGAATTTATGGTGTTTTGAGATGGTACCACTGAAGAGTAAGAATTTATCTATGTTTCTTCATTCCACCAGGATGTTTGAATAGGAATGTCATTCCTGAACTTTCTACAATTATCCTGTGTCAAAACTGTCAAGAATTGATCTCAGATCTGCTGAAGTTCTTTGAAGTCCATTAAGGCTTCACACAGCCAAGAGCAGTCAATTTGTGCTTAATTTTTAAAGAGAAAAGGGGTCAAATATAGAAGTGGTGCTATTTGTGCAATTAGCAATTGCATGTAGTATTTAAACACAGAGATGGTTGGGAGGAGCAGAATTTGATTATCGAGGTGCAGGGTGGGCTTTAATGCCTTTGCTGCCATTACAACCTGGATTGCACCTCTCCTGTGCCTGCTGTTTGTACTGGAAGGAAAGCTTCCACTTTCTGCTGTTGAAAGGCATTGGTAACTTTCAAACCAGAGAAAAACAGGACTTAAATTCTGGAGAATTTAAGGGAGGCTTTCATAGTGAAAAATCCTAGGTCTTCCAAGCATACTGTATTACCTTACCCTAGTCATGATAGTTCACATAACAATGGTAACAAAGAAGTTAGGAGACATACACAGAAGACATGATTACAGAAGATTTCAAAATGATTTATCTCCTTTTTCTAAGGCTGAAACTATATTAAGTTTTCATTCAAATGTGTAGACTCATTGAAATATATTTTTAAAATGGCAACCCATAACTGCTCCATCTCAATTTCATTATGTGTTTTTAAAGAGGGTGTACACAGTCGGAAGGAGGAATCCGAGACTAAAGCAGAGACTTGCATTTGTAAAGCTTCCATTTATATGCACAAGCATGCACTTGGTTTCTTTAGAAGTTAAGATTCATTTACAATAATTGCCAGTGAATCTCACTTTATGTCTAGTAATTGCCTTTTTTTGGCAGCTTCATTTTTAAATGATCGGGCAGCTGCCTCTATAAGAGGTAGAGTGAGCTTGGCTCAGATACCAGTTTGATTTTCTGCTAAATTCTCCCATTCAAAAATTATGCAACAGTTTCCCACAAATCATTAAATTTAAGGTTTTGGCCATGAGACACCCAACACCCAATTCCAGTCTTCTTCATCCTTCAGTGGGGATTTCATCAGTATATGTACGTGCAGGATTACAGCCAAAGACTGTTAAGGAAATAAAGTAAAAATGGATGAAAACAAATTGGTTGGGAGCAAATGTATCTGAGGAAATTGAATTTAAGTGGAGCATAAAAATTCTGCTCAGCCTAAATACCCTAAAGGCACCAAATGTCATTTGATTTTGGAAGCAAAGCAAGGTCAGGCCTGGTTAGTACTTGGATGAGAGACTGCCAGTGAATACCAGATACTGTAGGCTATATTTCAGAGGAAGAAACTGGCAAAACCACCACTGAGGCCCAATAAAATCCTATGAAATGGATGGGATCATCATAAGCTGAGAGGTGACTTGAAGGCTTGTGTGTGTGTGTGTGTGTGCGTGTATGCACACGTGTGTGCCTTCAAGTAACCTGTCAACTTTCAGTGATTCTATGAATGTACACACACACATATGCACACACACACACAATTTCTGTTGGGAAAACAACATTGGGTATCTAGAGTCTCTCTCTCTCTCTCTCTGCGGTGGTGGTGGTGAGGAGTATGTGAAAATGTAAAGATAGGTCCAAAACACACTGCAGAAATATATCAGAGTTATATCAGAGACCGCCTCCTTCCATACAATCCTCTCTGCTCTCTCCGGTCCTCTGGGAGGAATTTGCTGCAGCTTCAAAAATCTAGGCTGATGGCAACCTCCCAGAGGGCCTTTTCTATTGTCGCTCCCAGACTCTGGAACGGCCTGCCGGATGAGATCCGTCAATTAACATCTTTGCACAGCTTCAAAAAAGCTGTCAAGACGGATCTCTTCCGGCAGGCCTTTCTGGACTAAAATTCCCCAGCCTCGGGTTCATTGGGATCCTCCTTCTATGTACCTGCAAATTCCCTCAGAGTCTGAACTAACAGGGGATAATGGTTCGCATTGATTTTAAATTTATATAATGTTGTTTTTATGTAATCGTAATTGTTTTAAATTGATCATGATTTAATAATTTTTTAAGGGGGGGGAGGTGGGAATTATTAGTTTTTATGCTGTATGTTATTTTATCTTTGTTCACCGCCCGGATTTGCTTGCCACAGGGTGGTATATAAATAAAAATTATTATTATTATTATTATTATTATTATTATTATTATTATTATTATTATTATTATTATTATTATTATTATTATTATTATTATTAGAAATAATCCAGTTTGAGACTGCTTTCATTCAATGCTAGGGAATTCTGGGATGCTGCCTATCACTGTGTAGTGTGAAAGTGTCCCTGCAGGACTTCCATACAAAACAGAGTAGCTGTGGAAGAAGGAGATGTAAAACCAAGGGATGATTTGCCATCTGTGGTGGGAAACTGAGTAGGATTTTAGCCTAGGGCACAGTGACTCTTATTTTCATGTAGACACACATCGGGTTGTGTTTGAAAAGGACCGGGTATATGGCTATAGAAAGCAGCCATAGAAAATGAATGATATGTTATTTGTTCCATTATATCCCAGCTTTCCACTCAAGATCTCGAGCAACATGCATAGTCTTTCTTCCCATTTCATCCTCACAGCAACCCTGTAAAGTAGTGTCTGTATTTCTCCCTCCCCAAATTGCACCCCCCATCCCTCGTTGCAGACTTGGGAGATGTGTCCTTGGTGAGGAGGCCTGATACTTTGACTGGCTCCTAGTTCTGTGCATGTACACTCAGGAGTAAGGAGTTCCCACTGTATTCTGAGGGGCTTCCTCACAGGTAGCTTAGTATACACTGATCTGCACCATAAGTAGTAGGGCTGGACTCTCCTTCTTTGGAGGTCTTTAAACAGAGGTTCAGGCACAGCACAGAAGTGCTTTGATTGTATGTTCCTGCATGGCAGGAGGTTGGACTATATGGCCCTTGGGATCCCTTCCAATTCTGTACTTTGATGATTCTATTATTAGTTTGGTAAATATTGATTGCACAGTGGGTCTCATGGAGATTGGTACGCAGGTCCTAGTTCAGCATGCTGACCATTGTATCACAGTGTAATATTAAAAACTGATGGGAGTTCAGTTAGTCATGAGTAAGTGATTCTTGTAGTGGTGTGAGCCCTGGAGTATGCCTCTGGAGACCAGGGTTCGAATCCCCACTCAGACATGGAAACCCACTGACTGACCTTGGACAGGTCATGCTCTGAGCCTCAGAGGAAGGCAAAGGCAAGCCCCCTCTGTCCAAATCTTTCCAAGAAAAAAACATGATAGGTTCACCTTAGGGTTGCCATAAATCACAAATGATGTGAAGGCACACAACAACAACAACAGCAAGCACGACTAAATCACAATGATTTTGAATCATTTAATTTTAAGCAGTGGGCTGAGGCACAGACTCTTCAGTCCTTCTCTTTCCCTTCTACGTGAAGAGGACTAAACCTGGCAGAAGTCCCTGAAACCTTTGATATAAGGAGAGTCTGGAAACATCATTAGGTTTGGAGATGTAATATATAATGGACACATTTTTTCATATGATTAAATGCTTGTCAACAGATGTGATGAAGAAAGCCTCTTTTTGCAGCATTTTTCTTGGTACTTGGAGATTAAACATTTTGCATGAAGTGGGAAGATTAATAGGATCCATCAATCCATTTGAGAAATGGATATTAAAAAAGCTTAGGTCTATTAAATATGGCTTTTGTTGTTGTTGTTGTTTTGTACAAAAAACAGTGTTAGCCACAAGACTGATATAAGCTCATCCTTTTACATTATTTTTTATTTGTAACAATTTATTGAAGACAAATTTTAATTTTTTCTGTCAATAAAACTTTTCCCCAATTCATTGTCAGTCCCTCTACTGTTCTAAATTGGATTGTTATTTTAAAAAATCTTATAAATTTTCCCTATTAAGCCTTTTCCACCTTCTATTTTTTGTTATTTCTTTTAACAATTTGTTCAGATCTAAAATATTCAATTTTATTTCATCTAATTATTTAATTATCCCTTTTACTTGAATCCAATACTGATTTCCCATCAATATAATTAATTCTTTTTCCTCTGCTCATTTCCCTGTTGTATCATTCAAATTATTTTAAATACCTTAGTCTTTAATTTTTATTTTCCCGAAGTCTTCGTTTTTACCCTTATTGAAATATTCTATTGGTAACCATTTCCAGTTTTTAATATCCACTCACTTACTGCAAATTGAGTTCAAATAGTAAAAGTAGATTGCATTCACCTAACTTGGCGGATGGGGCAGTCCAGAGTCTTGTCCTTTCCAGTAGTCTCAGGAAAAAGCAAGCTGCTGCTTCATCTCCTATATTTTCTGTTCTTTCTCAATAATAACTTTTGTCATCATGGCCACCCTCTGATGTTGCTTGCTCACATATGTCCCAGATTTTATCTGTGACATATTGAAGGGTATGGTATTGATGGAGAGCCAGTGTGATACAGTGGTTTGAGTGTTGGACTATGACTCTGGAGATCAGGGTTCAAATCCCTGTTTGGCAATGCAAACTCACTGGGTGACCTTGGGCAGGTCACACACTCTCAGCCTTAGAGGATGG